TTAAACGCGTTTGCCTGACTATTGAAGGTGCCAATAAAAAATATTTGGGGTTGAAAACTTGAAAAATAAGGTAAAACAAAAGGAATTCAGGAACGTGTGTGAGAACTGTACAGAACAATTGTGGAATATCAATACAGCAAGATATTGAAAATGGCGCCACACCAGAAATTTTCAATAACATCTATTTCTCCACCTACCAGCCACTCAGGAGAGATAATACTATTAATTACATCAATAATTTTTTAAAATTCGTATTAAATTAAAAATAATACAGGCACTTAATTAAAGTAGTACTTATAAGTACCGTCAGTAGATAAAGGGTTAACGTAAATCAGTAGTTTAATTAACAGAGTTAGTGTCTAAGGTGGCGGTGGCGTGCTAGAGATATGGCCTTCAGTATTGGGTCCAGGTCTGACAAACCAAGTGGGGCCGAGGTAGAGTATCAGTAGGCTTTTGTGTTTTGTATGAGGTCAGAAACACTGTTTAATTCAATTTTACAAAATTGTGAAAAAATCTAGTAATGTTTTCCATCCTTTGAGGGAAACATGTTTTGTTTTTCTAGGACTCAATAAATTGAACTATCATGTTGACTGTTAGGCAGTAAAACACAGCACTTCATAGTTTAATGTCAGTGACAAAACTCATTCAAAACTATAATTTATTTAAAATAAGTGCATTTTGATGTGAATTTTGATTTTTTTTATATAAAGCACAGAGCACCTTAGGTTTTATATGAATGAGCACTGTTTGTGGAATGTGTCGAGTCACATGCAAATCGTGTTGCTCCTTCAAGGAACAAAGTATCATTTGTAATCATTTACACCAGGGGTCTCCAAACTACGGCCCGCGGGCCGGATGCGGCCCGCAAAGTCCTCTCATCCGGCCCGCAGAGATCTTTGTGTCCAAGGAAAAAACGTTTGTTGGTGATGGCTGAGGAACTTTGTCCAGAAAAATCAAAGACATGTCTGGAAGTAACTGGCCCCCGAACTGAAATTTGATAGTTAATGCGGCCCTCGGACTGAAAAGTTTGGAGACCCCTGATTTACACAAAACTGGCTTGTCCACCGGTGCCCCAGCATATATATATATATATATATATATATATATATATATATATATATATATATATATATATATATATATATATATATATATATATATATATATATGAAAGTATTTGTTTAAATAGTTTAATGATTTCTTTAATGCATCACTGCACCATTCATCTTAGTGCTATGAAATTTTGGGAAGGTGATGAGAATACTCAAGGGAAGGTTTCTGCAGAAAAAAAAATTCATTTCAGAGGGGCAGCACCCAGAGTTCCCCAACTGTTATTTTAGTACTTGTGATCTGTAGATAGTGTCCTGCACAAGGGATCATGAATCATCATGGCTACTTCTTGATTCAATGCACCTTGCGCATCAGTCAGCACCCAGGGGTCATATGCACTGTGGGCTCTGCACTAAGCACTATAACTATAACTCTTCTGTTTTAAAGAGCAGCATACACTATGGATATGGTTGGCTAATATAATTGTTGATTAAGTTAAACCAGGCATGTCCGGTGACACTCCCCCCCCCCCCTTTTTTTTTGTGTGTGTGGTGATTCTACATTTTTTTTAAAGAGCGACATATGCTATAGATAGAGTGGGCTACTGAAATAAATGTCATGGTGCACTACAGACTTCGCTATGAGCACTTTGATTCCTTCCTTTTTTTAAAAAGAGTACCATACACAATGGGCTTCTATAATTGTACACTTAATCAAAGCAGGTGTTTTCGGTGGCTGACCCTGTGTGTCCAGGCTCTCCCGTGAGCACTTCATGACTGTTGGTAACATTATCATTAGTTAACTTATGTAGAGTGTTACAGGATACAATTCTAAAACAGGTAAAGAAAATACATGATATTCAAAAATCCTAGGAACTCAAGAATGAGAAGAGAGAAATGTTCAAAGATTTTTGTGCTTATGATGGTATATTAATTGAAAGTAGACAAGAAATAGAAGGCTGCAGCTAATAACAATAGAACAAGAACATAATAGACAAAGGCCCAAGAAGATAACAAAGAAGCCCACAGAGAGGAGAAACAGACAATAAAAAAAATGAAGTATATTTTTGATTGAGAGCTAAGAGACTAGCAAGCATGATTCTAACAGAATGCATGCAATAGATTGCAATACTCCACATAATAGTTAAACAATTCACTACAGTGGAACTCAACACTGTTGGTTAAATTCATCAGTTATAAAAAGCCTTCTGCAGTGTGGATTAAGAACCTTCTGGAAGCTCTTACATTACTACTGAATTCCAAAGTAGATAGTAAATTTACAAATTGGTTTTAAGGTGCGATCCGAGAATGCCTGCTGTCGCCACTCCTCTTCCTTTGTACATCAACTGGATAAGGAAGACTTAGGGGAAACAACTTAATGACTTGTACTTTGCAAACGACCTTGTTTTTTTCACCGACAACCACACCAGATGCAGGAGCAGACAATTATGGCCGTAGGCAAGTCAGCGCAGGTTGGGCTCAACATCCACAAGGAAATAAAATGCACTGAACAAGTCATACTTAATGGAAGTCCCTTGAAAGAAGGCAGTCTTTCACCCTCTTTTGTATTGTAGACCAACAGAGCAGGACAGCTGTAGATGTTTAAACTAGGAGAGGCAAATCAAGAGACACTTTCACACAGCTAAAAAATATCTGGACTTTCAGAGAGGTTAATGACTAAACACCTGTCAATGCGACCTAATCAAATTGAAAAGTGTAAGTGTAAGTCAATTTCGACCCACTACTAATGCAGCGATTTCATTACGTTTGTCTCACTCATGGCAATGCAAGATCTCATTTTTAATTTAATTAAATCGATTAGTTATTAAAATGTAATCAAAAGATTACTATTTCAATAATAAAAGGGGAAATAACAAGATTAAATACAAGCAATTGCTTTTTTTTTTTTTTGCCCAAGTGTTGACCATAAACAAAGAAGAGGCAGATAATTGACTTTTTTTTTAGATTGAAAGCTACTCATCAAGTTTTAAAGCAAATATTTTTATTCATATTGGTGTCAGCTTAATTTAGAATGAATTAGGGAAAAATAGAAAATAAAACAAGTATATAAAACTTATATATATTTAAATGCACTGCCAATAAGAAAATAAAATGATTCCTCACCAGAATGTTATACAAATTTCATGATTGACCAATGCTTTTATTAAAGAAAGTTAGTTTTGTTTTTAATTATTTGTGCATTATATTTTTAAAAATTCAAATGTTTTTTAAGTATTACATTATTTAAGCTATCCACAACAAGGTTTCAAGATCAAAAGAACAATAAGCTATGTAATAATCACTCCTATTGGTCCTTTTGGTACTGTTGAAATAAGCCTTAATTTTTTATTATTGCTACCTTTACCTTTATAAAAAAAACTGCTTGTTTAAGTTTTTGTTTTCTTTCTTAGCCACATACAAAAAAATTCAACTAATTTTTGCAATTATGTATCAATTATAAATAACCATTTTGCCTGTCCTTGCGCATTGGTGTGATCTCAGTGGAAATGTGTTACCAATCAATATTTTTAGATGCGTGACCTTGTTTTCTAAAACTGAGTTATTTAAAGGTAAACAATGCCTGGGCTGTGTTTCTTGGATCATATTTGTCGGCGCACCAGTTTGCCCATCATGCCAGAGTGTGCTGTATGAAAGTCTTGAATGTACGTCAATTACACGCCATTATTGTGAGGTAGAACACACTTTGGCCACTGCCAGGTGTCAGGACGTAAGGGAATGCTCTTGGGTATCCCCAGCTACACTGCTGTGTCGCACATAGCCCATGGCTCATTTTAAAGAATCAAATATCATGTGCCACTGTGTCAGTATTGTGTCAGCACCATTATAAAGAACCTATGCGCCATGGTGCTCATGGGATAGTCCAGGACGCCAAATCACACCCTGCCGGGGCACTGGTGGACAAGCCTGATTCAGTATAGTTAACTACTTTAGTCTATCATACCCTATTGTATCCATTGTTTAAAATTAAAGTAGGTGCCTTAGCGCTTGCAGGAAAACCTGGGGCACTGCTGTGAAAATTAAGCCTTTTTGTTTTACCCTGAAATATCCCAAGGAGTATTCTCAACAGCTTCATGGCAATCAAACGAAATGTGTAGAAATGCATAAAAGACAAACAAACCCACACACCAACATACTTTCCTTTATAAATCTATCTGTCTGTCTGTCTGTCTGTCTGTCTGTCTGTCTGTCTGTCTGTCTGTCTGTCTGTCTGTCTGTCTGTCTGTCTATCTATCTATCTAATATATATATATATATATATACATGTAACACATATGGTTACCAGCCAAAGGGGGATAAAAATATGAAGTTTTTATTAATTGGGTTGCGGCCCCTGTGGGACCGTAACTGAACTGTTGATGTTGTTTTTTTATGCTTTTGTGAGCGAAATTACCTGTGTTCCATGTCATGTGACATGGGATTGTGGGTAGTTTCATGCCTAGCCGTGTCGCACACGCAAGGCTGCTGTCTGTGGACCAAGATGTAGACCTAATGAAGGGCTACAGTTTTTCTTTTGGTCTTTTGGTTTTGGATTCTTTCTTCTTGGCTAGTTTGTTTTGTACTACTGTGTTGCATCGCCTTCATGGCTCGATGCTGTAAATAAAGCGAGTACAGTGACAACAACTGTCGGTGTGTACTTAATCTCAGGGTCAGCCCGTCTTAACCACAACACCTCAGTGGGTAAAAGCATCCCCACTGAGTGAGGGTTACATACATACATATATATATATATATATATATATATATATATATATATATATATATATATATATATATATATATATATATACACATACACATATACAGAGAGAGAGACAGAGAGAGAGAGATCATATTAATGGATCATATTAATGGATCAAAAGTCTGCACCACTATAAATAGTTATTAATGCTGCATACTAATTATTAAATATTATTTCTCATGTTTTTTCAGACAATATGCAAGAACTACCACGTCTTACAATTGCATTAAGGACCTTTGGCAATGTTTCCCAAGGTATTCATGTAGGAGCAGTTAATGATTTACCTTTACGTAAATCACTGGCACTTGAGAAGCAGAAAGAACGAAGTCCTTCTTGGGAGAATTTATCAGCATTCATTAAAAAGCAAGCCAAAGCAAGTCATAGTGAAATAGCAACTGCTCTTAAACAATTATTAACAACAGCTAAATCTATTGGTGAGTTCAAGTTATATTTATACCTGTTTAAAATTATTGTTTTTTCAAGTGTCTTTTACATAAAACTGTTAACATTAGTCAGAAACCTCAATTGTTTTTGATCAACCATTAACGCCATTAATTTAATCTTCAGTACAGGTGTAAATTATTGAAATCTATACTATGGTTGAAGCAATAAAAAATAAATACATTTAACACTTAATTCAATAAAAGAATCAATACTTAAACTCGTATAATTGTAACATGATTGTAACAAATATAATCATTAAAAAATGCAAATCTAAAAATTTCAACTAATGTGTCTAATGATTAATTGACCATAGGTCTTTATCAGCTATTTGACTTATTCCTTTCATTCCCGTGGGGAGCAAAGGACTGCAGCTCTCTTTATTTGAGCCTGTGTAAGCCCAGCAATACTTGTTTCTCCTTCCACTGTCCTTCTCCAGGATTGCTTTGTTCAGCCTACTTTTCTTTTTCCCTGGAGGTTCCAGTCTAATGTTTGCCCTACAATGATCCATCCCCAGTACTTAAAATCCCTTCAATCAGCTTTCTAGTTTTATATCATTATCTGAAATTTTGTCTGGCTATCTTATCTTAAGGATTTGTCGTAAATCCCTGTCAGTGAATGACTATAGCCTATGGGAGTTTCAAAATAATTGACTGAGAAATATTACTTTAACATTGCTTTTGGTATGTCATTGAGTATAAGTCCTCATTTTGTTGTTCTGTTTTTTGTAAATTAGCAATATTAAAAATAAAAAGTTGTGAGTTAAGTATTTAAGTTATAAATATTTTTACAGTTGGAGAGGAAGAATCACCAGATACAATTGAATGTGGAGCAGCATTTCTGTTTGATGTATTTAAATCAGTTGAAAGTGTTGGACAAAGGGAGGCTACACAATTACGCAGTACATTTGGGCCCTTTTCAGCTACCTTGGTTACTAAAGCATGTGAGCTAGTGAAAAAGATAGTCAGGTGGCTACCCGAAAGTGCGTTAGCTGAGCTTTCATTAGAACGAGAAGAAGGTATGTTAATACCTTTCATGAGGTTTTATCCACATTACACCAATCAAGTATTATTTTTAAAAAACTGAGTAATTTAAGCTGGCGATATATTTCTTGAATCTTAGTAGTTGTAGCACTGGATTGTCCCTAGTACTGCTCAGATAACCCAGGGGTGTGCTGAATTAAAACCTTGAGTGTAAAATAATCACACTTCATAATTGTGCAATAGAACACTCTCTGCAACTGATCAGGTGTCAGGGGTGTCACAGGGGTGCGACCCCTGGTTGCAGTTTGACATTTGAATCAAGTAGTACCATGTAGAATGCTCATCATAAGACACCATGTTCTCAGGTAGCTGCTGGGAAACTCAAGGCGTTTATTCATTGCCAGACAATGACCCTGGTTTGATCTAGTCAACAATTATAGTAGCACTTAAAACAAATGTAGGCTTTACATTGTGAATGGTGGAGCAAGGGGTGCACACATAAAACATAGAATTTTTTTTAAAAAGCAGATTATGTTATCTGTGCCTTGATTAACAAATATGATCTGTTCACAGATGAGCTCCAATTTTTAACTAAAACCAGAATTTCTATTAGTTTCCTATGCAAAAATCAGACCTTAAAAGCAATGACTTAAATTGCTAAAACATGCCATGTAAAGTGTCAAATGAAGAAGTGCATAGTATGAGCCAAAAAAGGAATGTTACAGGTTATTAAAACTTCTGTGGGAATTTTTTTTTTATTGACATATTAGGATCAACTGAACCTTGGGGATTCCAATGTCTGATCGCTTTGTTTAACTGATTGCCCCCTATTTCATGTTCAGTCTTCTGAAAAACTTGCTGTGTTTAAACTAAAATAACTTGAGTTTCTAAATGCAATCTGTTATTTCTGCCTTGGCGTGATGTAAAAATTGCCAAATCAATTTACTTGCATTATCCAAAAATAAAATGGATGTTTCAAGCCTCAATAAAATAATACTTTTCCAGGTGATGGTGCTGCAAACAACGAAGAGTTTGGACGCACAATTAAGTTTACTATGCCACCTGTTGAGGATTATCAAGATGGGTTTTCTTCTAGTGAAGAAAATGATGCTATTGATGTAGATAGTAGAGATTTTGATTTAAAATATGCAGCAAAAGTGAAAGATGGGGACAACAAAAAGATGCATCAAACTAAAATTGTGGCAAGATTAGCAGAATTTAATTCAAAATGGATGATGCAAATTCTTGGAAACTATTTCCAAGATAATGAAACAGCTCTAAATTTGGGTCTTGATAATCTTGCTTCAACAGTGTATGAAGTTTTGAGTTCTCAGCGCACAGATGAAGAATTACAAAATGAGGTATTATTATAATTTGAGAGATAGACGTTTTAATATACCTTATTAATAAAAGTTAATTTACAACTTTTTTCATTTCAGAATTATCAAATCAGTTTTTTATATAAAAACATTTGTTTTTTTAGATGTTTGATTTGTTGGGTTTTGAAAGATTTGAACTTATACAAAATCTTCTTGAAAATCGACCTCAAATTATAAAAGCTCACATGGCAGAATCTACAAAAGCTTTAATACAGCAAATTCCAAGTAAGAAGAAATTCATTAGATTTTACTGATTAAATTTGTTGTACTATATTTATAGTTTTTTACAAACATATCTTGATTTTGTAGAAAAAAAGACAGAAAATGAGAGGCCTACTTATGGATGTCAAGTAATTGTTCAGGTAATTAAAGTACAGTTGATTCATATATAAAGGCAGCCTTCAGACATTTAAACAAATAATTACCAAGCATTGATCATATTTGTCAGCATTTCAGGCAAAAGCCATTGTTTAGTATACCTCTTTTACTGTTTTTTGTGTGTTATATTAGTGTGTTGAGTACAGATTAGTATTTTTTCTTTCTTTCATAGCTAATAATAATGAATTTGTATAGGTTCTAAAATTAAGATTACTACTCCTTTCATATGTTGTAAACTTCATTCTATTTCTGAAGCATTTAGGCTTGTTTAGTTTAATCTTTCCTTTCTTTACTATGCTGGAATTTCCCAACATTTTCTGTATATTCAGCTGTGACTAGAGACAAGCTAAACACTTCTTTATCACCAATGTGTAAACATTTTTCAACCTTTTTCATCCATATGTTAAAAATTGATAACACTTGCAGACTATTGTGTTCTTTTTGGCTGAAACAACAAACTTCTCTGCCATCTGCTTTAAGTATTCTAGAGTTACCATAGCTTGACAAATAATTGTAAATGTCAGTTTGTTACTCTTATGGTTTTAAGGCAGTGAACTAGCATCTCCTACAGCTGTTTATTCTGCAGGTAGAGGGACAAAAGGTCTCTAGAAATGTAGAGGGACAAAATGTCTCCAGTAATGTAGAGGGACAAAAGGTCTCTAGTTGTGTAGAGGGACAAAAGGTATCTAATAATGTAGAGGGACAAAAGGTCTCTAGTAATGTAGAGGGACAAATGGTCTCCAGTAATGTAGAGGGACAAAAGGTCTCTAGTAATGTAGAGGGACAAAAGGTCTCTAGTAATGTAGAGGGACAAAAGGTCTCTAGTTGTGTAGAGGAACAAAAGGTATCTAATAATGTAGAGGGACAAAAGATCTCTAGTAATGTAGAGGGACAAATGGTCTCTAGTAATGTAGAGGGACAAAAGGTCTCTAGTAATGTAGAGGGACAAAAGGTCTCTAGTAATGTAGAGGGACAAAAGGTCTCTAGTAATGTAGAGGGACAAAAGGTCTCTAGTAATGTAGAGGGACAACAGGTCTCTAGTTGTGTAGAGGGACAAAAGGTCTCTAATAATGTAGAGGGACAAAAGGTCTCTAGTTGTGTAGAGGGACAAAAGGTCTCTAGTAATGTAGATGGGCCCAAAGGTTTCTAGTAATGTAGAGGGACAAAAGGTCTCTAGTAATGTAGAGGGACAAAAGGTTTTTAGTATTGTAAAGGGACAAAAGGGATGAAAGGCTCAAATACAAGAGGCAATTATCTTCCACCTAATAGCATGGAAACTAATAGTCCATTCCTGGAGAGAAAATTTGTATATCAAATAGAATATTAATTATTGTTCAACACAACAGTACTGGCATAGATTATCATAAAGTAAATTAATTTATCACACAGAGTTAGTTTTATGCATATTTTATTTTAATTCAAAATGATGTTCGAATATTTTTTTAAAGGCACACTTTCCTTACTGATATCAATTGTGATGTAATTGCCTTTTTTCACTTATTTTTAAAATTTAAAACAACTCATCTGTCACTACTGTCAGTTCATTTTCACATTTTGTAAAACTTTAATCATGTCAGGGGTTAACTTTAAGATCTATCTTTGAAAATGTGTAGATAAAGCTTATATGCCAGGCATATCTAAATCTACCTCTAAATTCTTAATGATAGTGATATTTTTTAGAGTGTTGAAGAAAAAACTTTAGCCAAGCAGTTGAGAAAGGAAGAAAAGCGTTTAAAGAAGGATGGAAAATTCACTACTGATGATCAGGAAATTGCTATGGCATTAGATATGACTCCTGAACAATTAAAGGCAACAAGGTAAGAGATGCTGGTTTTATTTAAAAAAAAATATTTTTCTCTTTTATTTTCTATGCTATTTAAAACGTTTTGGAAAATAGTTTTTTTGTAACCATAAAAACTGTTGATAACTATTTTTGAATTTATATCATACAATTTTAGCCCACTATCTAACCCCTGCCTCATATTGTCATACACATCCATTATAAGATTCCACAGTTCCAAACTCCCCAAAATGGTAATAATGCTAATGTAAATGAACATGTTTTTCATTATACATGTCCTTTGAAAAGTAACTATATGCTGTCACATTTTTCAAACACCTAACCCCTTCTTCATCTGGTTCTGTATTGCAAATGTTTGGACTTGGCCCTGGATCTCTAATTTCACGTAAAATTTTCATTTTACAGGAAAAAAAATAAAAATAAAAAACCCACTTTATCATCACTATTTATTATTTTAAAATTTCTGAACTTTTTTTCTAGAGAAGCTGCTTTACGAGCTGCTGCCAATGCTCCTTTATTTTCTGGTAGAAATTTGGGATATGCTAAACCAGAGAAATACCCTTTTGTTTTTGATAGTCTTGCAGAAATTCAACAGTCATCTGCATATATTTCAGGACAAAAGGTATTTTGTGTAGTAGCTATTTATTATATTTTGTGTAGCAGCAATATTTTATTATATCATTATTAAAAATGATTTTAAACATTTGTTTTTAGCTCGTTTTACCTGTAAATATTACAAGAAAAGATGAAAAACTTTTTGAAGAAATTAGTATACCACCTACTGAAACAGCTCCAACAGATGTAGGAAAAGATAGAAAACTTATAGAAACACTTGATGAGGTAATTTTTGTTTGATTGCAGGTGTTCTGTCATGTTGTTTATCCCGTTTTTGTTTTATAAAAAAAAAGTTTCATCTTATAGTTTCTGTAATTTAGAGTTTGCTGTATTAGTGTTTATTCACTTGCAATGACTTGTAACACAGTTGAAAACAAGGATCACATAAGTGTTGTACTGTTTCTTCATTTGCTGTGGATCCTTATTGTGATGGGGTGGGGGGGGGGGATGAATATTACTTTTTGAATTATACTATTATGTGAAAGGGACAGCAGCAGCAATTATATTTCTGCATACTCAAATCAAACACGTGACTAGCTGAATAAAAGTTTTTTTTCTCTATATACAGTATTAAAGTCAATTTGCGGTTTGGGAGGTATCTTTAAAAAAAATCTTTTTTAATTTCACAAAGGCGACACCCCGATAGGGTGCGATTCTTCACTTTATACGGTATATTAAAAAAATGAAAGTCAGATGCGGTATGACACTGTTTATCTGAGTGCCATAAAACTTTGGAGAGTTGATGAGAATACTCCAGAGAAGGTTTCTGGAGGGGGGGAGCTAATTTCGCACTGGTGGCCCCCGCCGGGATGCGATTTGGCGCCCCGGTTTTTTCCCATGAGCCCTATGGCGCATACGCTCATTTTAAACAGTGAGATAGACTAAGGTTAAAATGGGGCGTTATAGTCATTCAATAAATTGAATCAGGCCATCCACAGGCGCCCTGGCAGGGCAGCAATTGGTGCCCCGGGCTATCCCGTGAGCGATATGGCGCCTATGTATGTTTTAAACATTGCAAAAGCCTATGCACAAGATTCGGGGTTTAGAGTCGGCACATCCGCAGGGCCCCGATAGGGTGTGATTTGGTGCCCCGGGCTTTTTGGACAGTAGTGTAAGTAATGGCTTTCACCACCCGGCTTCATAAATTCTCCATCTGGAGATCCATTCTTTCCCTGGTCCGAGCTGTCTGGGACAGAAGCAGACATAAAAATAAGGACGGGCAAGGCAAGAGCAATCTTCAACCAACTAAAAATTGTTTGGGGTTCTGGAGATTTAACCCTTGGAATAAAAAATCCTGATGTTCAACACACTAGTAAAACCTGTTTTACTCTATGGAGCTGAGACATGGAGAATAACTGCTATACATAAGAAGAAAATACAATCATTTATAAACGCATGTCTCAGAAAGATCCTGCGAATACGCTGGCCTAAAAACATCAGAAATGATGTTCTATGGCGATGGACAAATCAACTGCCAGCTGAAGTAGAGATCCTCCAGAGAAAGTGGGAATGGATTGGCCACACACTCAGGAAGCCTGTATCCAGCGTAACAAGACAGGCCCTCACCTGGAATCCACAGAGCAGGAGGAGAGGCAGACCAAGAAAGACCTGGAGACGTGACCTGGAAAAGACACCAAGAAGATTGGATACACCTGGGGACCGTTGGAGAGACTAGCCCAGGACAGAGACGCCTGGAAAGCTCTTGTCCCAGGAGGGGCGACAGGCAAACCTAACCTAACCCAAGTGTAGGTAAACCCATAACGCCATAAACAGTGCAATAGACCATGACTAAGATGAGTCGTTTAGTTCTTCACAATTTGAATCAGGCGTGGTCGCCAGCGCATACATTAGTTTTGAAGAGTGCGATAGAATATGGATAAGAAGTAGTATTAAAGATGTTCACTAAACTGAATCAGGCACAACAGACCAGTAGGGTGCGATTTGCCGCAGACTATCCTGGGATTTTTTTTTAACTCCACGGCAACACGCGGGGACAGGCACGCTGGTTGTCATATAAATCACTCACACACTTTGTCTATTTGTAAGCTACACTAGATCAAATCCCCATCTCCCCATGCTAAGCCCCAACTGTCTCTTTAGTCTTGTCTCCTACGTCATTGCTTTTATCATAATGTCAAACTTACACTACACATACTCTATAAAGCACGATGCGAGCGCCTGCCAAATTTCAAGCACCTGTGGCACTGACAAGTGCCCTAACCAGCTTTGGACCACTTTGCTTTATGTATATAGATTATATTTTTTGATTATCTATCTACTAGCCGTCCCGGCCAAGCTCTGTACTGACCTCTGTGAAAAACCTATCTGTAAAGGACCATGACTTGTGTGTTTATTAAGCAGCATATACACTGCATTGCCCAGGTTTAGGAAATATATTACTTTTTGAATTAACCCTAACCACAACCAACCAAAACACAAACACAAAACATACCCAAACAAAACGTAAACATAAATGAGATTTGGACAAGGTATAAGCCTAGCCTAATGTAGTCTTGCAAGTTCTTGTGGTTCAGAGTTAAGGGGCACAAAACTAATATCGTGGTATTGGAGCAAACTATAATCACCCAAGATTTCCAGGGGTGACACTTTTCTGGATTATCCCTTTCCGAGTTAGAAAAAATTTAAGTTTTAAAATGGCGGGGTTTGAAAATTGAAAACAAAACAAGATTTTTGACATATGATTCAAGAAATCAATTTTAGTATTAAGACTGGAGCCTTTTAACGTTGATCTGTTTTCCAACAATTGCGCAAAGGTATATATTACATCTACTGCTATACTAGCTTAAGGTTACTCAACATTGACTTGATGTCATTTTTTTCATTTTTTTTTTCAGGACTGGTATAGAATTTAGTTTAGGCTACACGTGGTTTTTTAACAATTTAGTATATATTTTTTGCATTTTTAAATTCTATTTTTAGATTGGCCAGTTGTGTTTCAAAAATACAAAAAGTCTAAATCGCATTCAGTCTGTTGTCTTTGATGCAGCCTATAAAAGTAATGAGAATTTACTTATTTGTGCCCCAACTGGAGCCGGTAAAACTAACATTGCCATGTTAGCTATTATTAGGGAAATAAAGCAGCATCTCTCTCAAGGAGTTATTAAAAAAGATGAGTTTAAGGTAAGGGACTTTCTAAGTTTAAAATAAGATTAATTAAAACAAACACTGCTAAAATGCATCTTTTTTTTCTAAATAAATGAATAATTTTAATCTTCCTATTAGATTGTATATGTTGCTCCTATGAAAGCTCTTGCAGCTGAAATGGTACGAAATTTTGGTGGAAGGCTTCAAGCATTGGGAATAACTGTAAAAGAATTGACTGGAGATATGTCATTAACTAAACAGGAGATTCTTAACACACAAGTATGTTCTTTAGGCATATCAAAGTGTTCTTTCCTTATACATTTTTAAATTCTTGCTAGTTTAAATCAGAATTGCTTGAACACTCTGTAACAGTTCAGTCACTTAGTTAAACTGATCTGTCAATCCATTTTTGTTAATGTTGTAATGGGTCATTATTTTATCACACCTTTTTTTGGAGCTATGATTACTGTTACAAAGAGAACTGATACAATAAATATGCTGTAAATGTGGTTACAGAGTTCCAAATAAATATTAAGGTGGGAAGGAAAGCCCTTGGATGCTGCTAGGTATTTATTCTGAATTTTAGATTAAAACAAAAATAAATGTGGTAAATTATCAGATGCTGGTAACAACACCAGAGAAATGGGATGTGGTGACACGCAAGAGTACTGGTGATGTAGCTCTCACTCAGTTAGTAAGGTTGTTGATTATTGATGAGATCCACCTCTTACATGATGATCGAGGACCAGTCATTGAAACATTAGTAGCAAGAACTAAAAGACAGGTTAAAAAATTTCAATCTTTTCCTTTTCATTTCAGTTATGTTCAGTATAAACATTACAAATAAATTATACTAGGTTTATTTTATTTTAATTTAGTCACTTTTAATATTTGTTGTAAAATTTGTTGTTAAAATTAAGTTGTATCCCAATTGATTTTTATAACACAAATCAGAATACAAGATATATAAGTGATACATTATTTATGTAAAATGTTAACTTAAATAAACTATAAACCTTTGATTGAAAAAGTTTTATTAGCATTATTTTGCTGCTTTATTAACCAGACCTCTGGCTTTAAGAGAAGGTGTATATTTCAAAACTCAATATTTCATGAACTCAATAGTTCAAATAAGAATTTTAGATCATTATTTTAAAATTGAATATGTAGGTGGAGAGCTCTCAAAGCATGATAAGGATTATAGGACTTTCTGCCACTTTGCCAAATTATCTAGATGTTGCTACCTTTTTGAATGTTAATCCATACACTGGATTGTTTTTCTTTGATGGACGATTCAGGCCAGTTCCACTTGGTCAAACCTTTATAGGTCAGTTACACAATAAAAATTAAATAAGGTGCCAAAGTTTGTAGTGTAACAATAGTTAAAAGCATTTCATTTGCCCAAAGCTTATGGTTGCTAAATGATCTTTCTTTTATACCTTTTATAGATATCATAAAAAACTGCAAAATACTTTTCATAGAGCTTGTTCATGAACAAGCCATAATAAAGAGTTTTTTTTTAAAATGATTTAAATTAAATTTTGTAGTCAATAAGATTTCTACTTTATTTTTCAAAAATTTAAATTAAAAGACAACATATTGTATATGTAATTCTTTGCATCAGTTCAATTTTTCATTTAGATAGATACATTTACCCATTTTTGCAGGTGTTAAAGCAATTAACAAAATGAATCAGATGAAAGACTTCAATACTATTTGTTATGAGAAAGTCATCAAACAAGTAAGAGAAGGCCATCAGGTAAAACAATCTTTCATTATTATCATTAAAAATTAAACTTTTAACATTTGTATTTATAACCTAAAACATTCTAAGTAATATATTGAATGTTTACTAAAATCAAAATGTACATAAAATTTGTTTAAAATGTTATTGTGAAAGGTATTTAAAGTGTGAGATTGGCATGTTGTGGGGTTGTTATTAAAAATCACTAAGATAAAATAATTCCAAAAGCTTAAAAGGAAACAAAGTAATGTTGCTCAAAATATGTGTCTGATCAATAGAAAAACATGAATTTTAATGTAGATTTATCTGTTAACTAAATGTAAATGAAATTTATCATTATCCTACAGGTGATGGTCTTTGTTCATGCTCGTAATGAAACTGTTAGAACAGCTTTTAGTTTGATTGAACTGGCAAAAAATAGAGGAGATACAAGCCTGTTATTAGCTGAACAAAGTAAAGTATACGGAGATGCCCAAAAAAATGTAACTTTTATGTATTGAGTTAATTTACTTTTTGTTTTATTACACTTTTTTTAATATGACAGTTGATGGTTTTTCTCTATATTGGAAAAAGTTTTTTAAAGTCATAAAACATACCAAAACAGAAAATACAGCTATTAATTATTTTAAAAATTAACCAGCCATCTTGTAATTCCCTCCATCTATGTGTGTTTTGTATATATATATATATATATATATATATATATATATATATATATATATATATATATATATATATATATATACATTGAAAGTTTTTAAAATTTTAGATATTAAAAAGTCGTAACAAGCAACTCCGTGAAATGTTTGCTGAGGGCTTTGGTATTCATCATGCTGGAATGCTTAGACAAGATAGAAATCTTGTTGAGAGATATTTTTCAGAGGGCTTCATCAAAGTTTTGGTCTGTACTGCAACTCTTGCTTGGGGTGTCAATCTACCTGCTCATGCAGTTATAATCAAAGTAAGCTTACAGCCTCAACCTACTTTTTTGTTTTTTATCCCCTCAGCCTCGCAGATTTTCTAACGATAAGTTCCATCCTGCCCAGATATCATTTTGCCAGTCAAAAATTCAATATGTTAACATTAGTTAGTAATATGTAAAGAATTAGGAGAAATAAATTATAAAATGAATGAAAAAATAGCATTAACTTACCACATTAATATTTTCTTAGGATGTAAGGTAATGAAGTCAGACCATAAGCACTAGCAGATTATAAATATTTACTCTTAGATTTAAAAGTCATAATCTGTCTACTAATGTCTAAGTAATAATCAGACTTCTAAAAAAATTAAATATAAGATTTTATGAAAGTTTCTGCCTAAAATTTTAAATTTGCACCAGTGCTTACCCATATAAACTAACATGACTAGGCCAAAAGGGATTGGTAGGACAAAGCTAGGTTGTTGATTAACACAAAAAATAAAACAAAGAAAAAATTCTCTGATTTAAAAAAGCATTAAGTACTTAGGTGAAAAACGTCATTTTATGTTTTTACCCTGTCCTTGTTTAATGGAAATTCATGTTTGTAAACCCTGTCCTTGCTTAATGTAAATTCATGTTTGTAAACCCTGTCCTTGCTTAATGGAAATTCATGCTTGTAAACCCTGTCCTTGTTTGATGGAAATTCATGTTTGTAAACCCTGTCCTTGTTTGATGGAAATTCATGCTTGTAAACCCTGTCCTTGCTTAATGTAAATTCATGTTTGTAAACCCTGTCCTTGTTTGATGGAAATTCATGTTTGTAAACCCTGTCCTTGCTTAATGGAAATTCATGCTTGTAAACCCTGTCCTTGTTTGATGGAAATTCATGTTTGTAAACCCGGTCCTTGTTTGATGGAAATTCATGTTTGTAAACCCTGTCCTTGCTTAATGTAAATTCATGTTTGTAAACCCTGTCCTTGCTTAATGGAAATTCATGCTTGTAAACCCTGTCCTTGTTTGATGGAAATTCATGTTTGTAAACCCTGTCCTTGTTTGATGGAAATTTATGGTACTGGTTATGAGGAAACTGAATAAAAAGATTAATTGTACATGGCTGGGCATGAGGAAAAGGAAATGAATAGAGGGGAAAGTATGCACATAGGGCTGTAAGAGTTGAGATTAAAATGTTATAATTTCTTATATTGAATAAAAACAAAATGAGCAATGGTATAATTTATTCCTTTTCACAATATTTTTCAAAGTAATAGCATGAAGTCAGTATTATTGGTAAATGAAACTGTCTAATGACTTTCTTTTATTGTTTTAAGGGCACTCAAATTTATGATGCAAAAAGAGGAGCTTTTGTAGATCTTGGCATATTGGATGTAATGCAGATTTTTGGTCGTGCTGGGCGTCCACAGTTTGATACATTTGGCCATGGCACAATCATAACTACACATGACAAGCTGAGCCACTACTTGAGTCTGATGACAAGACAAAATCCAATAGAAAGTCAGTTTATTAATAGTCTGACTGACAATCTTAATGCTGAGGTTAGTGATATGTAGTCTTCTTTATTGTAGCGGTGTTCTTGATCTACTTTTATTCTTCATAAAATAATTTCTATCAATAAAGAAATTACATTTGTATACGGGATTTAGGAGGTGGTATCCCCCTTCCATACAGATAAATACAATTCATAAGCTTAATAAAATAACTTGAATGCAAGTCTAACCTTATTTCACAACCTAACAATGTTGTTATCAATATTAACTGTGCACTCTCTTTTCAGGAGATTCGCCAAAATGGCCAATATTTTATTTTGCAAAGTACATATAATAAAGCAAATGGGACTTAACATGATAGATAAATTTGATGAATGTTCTCAGATTTCTCTGGGAACAGTAACCAATGTAGAAGAAGCTGTCAAGTGGCTTAGCTATACATACTTGTTTGTTCGCATGAGGAAAAATCCGCTGGTTTATGGTATTCCTACTGATTACTGGCAGGTTAGTTCACTTTTTTGAGCTTTTAAAATAAAAACACTTTTAAGTCTCTGTATAGAACAGTGTTATTATTAAGAAAATTTTGAATATCCATGGTTTACAGCGTGGTTGTTTTTCTGCAAATTAGATCTGGTCTTGTATGTTATTATGCATTTAAATGTAGAAGTTTCGAATAATATACTTGATTTATTAATAAATGTTTAAGTATCTATCAGTGTTTCTTAACCTGGGTTTCAATCGAAGCCCAGGGGTTTATGAGTCCGTCTCAGGTTTTCGGTGGAGGTCAAGACACATACTCCACTGATTGCGATCAGATTTTTGTCAATGCAGACGATATAACTAGCGGCCACAGATGATGTCTGGTCAAATATAATAGCAAGACATAGTAATAAAGTGCACCAGAGAGACTAACACGAATCTGTATCATGATATTTCCTATATTATGGAACCCTTGATGTCACGACAGACAGACATCACAAATTGTGTCAACACATGTTGATTGTGCTGTGATGAATGTACTGTTTATTTCTATATTGTGGCTCAGTAGTCGACTTGTGACTTTAGTGAGGGTATGTCGTGTGATTTCTTTCTTAATATTTTAATCCCATATGCAATAATACAACGCTTGCGGAATTCAAAGTGAAGCTGTACATTTCTGAACTGCTGTAAACATTCATTATTATTATTTGTTTTTGTGTGAAAATCATATTTTATTGGTTTTGTTCTTTAAAGCTCAAGGGGTTTAGTATCTCCAAAAAGTTTAAGAACCGCTGATATAAATGTTTTAAAATAAAATACATTTGATTTTATCAGCTAGATTGTTTAGATGTAATATTGTTATTTTATTATTACATTTTGTAAAATAAATTGAGGATTAATAAAAGTGGATATATTAGATGGTAGCCCTATATTTTGTAGATCAGTAAATACATTATCATCGAACACATTTATTATTAAAACCAGTATAAACTGAGGGATAATTGTATGCTTATCTTTAGGCATTATCACACCTAATTATTATATGTTACCATATTCAATTTTTACTTAGGAGGATCCTCAATTAGAAATACACAGAACAAACTTGGTTATTGAAGCAGCTCGACGATTAGATAAAGCAACTATGATAAGATTTGATGAGCGCACTAATTATATGTTCTCTACAGACCTTGGTCGTATTGCCAGTAATTTCTACATTAAATATGACACAGTCGAAGTAAGCAGAAAGCATTATATTGACTTCAATTTTTTTTCTGGCCAATAATTTTGTTGTTTTAAATTTAGACTTAATTAATACAAGGAAAAATCAGTAATAGAAAAATGTATTTCCTAAAAAATTTCAAACTAAGAAGAGATTCTATTACTGATAAATTATAAACAAAACTTAATGTGCTCTTAATAACTGGGAGACCACGACTTGTTATTATAGACAATCAATCAAATGCTGAAACCTGTGATGACTGAAGACCACATTCTGAACCTTGTTTCCAACGCTCAAGAGTTTGAACAGATCAAGGTTAGTTAAAAATTCATACAAATTTTTTGTAATTTAACATGTTAGTAAATGGCTATGAGTAGAGTACTTATTTCAAGATCTTCAAAGTTCATCAAACTGTGCTGATTTCTTATTACTATAGCTAATATTTGGTACTTAAATGTCTCATTATTCTGGTCTTTGTTACTCAGTCTGTTGTTTGATTGTCCTAGTCTTTTGTCCTAGTCTCTTGTCATAAGTCTGTTGTTTAATTGTCCTAGTGTCTTGTCCTCAGTCTGTTGTCTGATTGTCCTAGTCTCTTGTCATAAGTCTGTTGTCTGATTGTCCTAGTCTCTTGTCATAAGTCTGTTGTTTAATTGTCCTAGTCTCTTGTCATAAGTCTGTTGTCTGATTGTCCTAGTCTCTTGTCATAAGTCTGTTGTCTGATTGTCCTAGTCTCTTGTCATAAGTCTGTTGTCTGATTGTCCTAGTCTCTTGTCATAAGTCTGTTGTCTGATTGTCCTAGTCTCTTGTCATAAATCTGTTGTCTGATTGTCCTAGTGTCTTGTCCTCAGTCTGTTGTTTAATTGTTCTAGTCTCTTGTCATAAGTCTGTTGTCTGATTGTCCTAGTCTCTTGTCATAAGTCTGTTGTTTGATTGTCCTAGTCTCTTGTCATAAGTCTGTTGTTTGATTGTCCTAGTCTCTTGTCATAAGTCTGTTGTTTGATTGTTCTAGTCTCTTGTCCTCAGTCTGTTGTTTGATTGTCCTAGTCTCTTGTCCTCAGTCTGTTGTTTAATTGTTCTAGTCTCTTGTTATAAGTCTGTTGTTTGATTGTCCTAGTGTCTTGTCCTCAGTCTGTTGTTTAATTGTTCTAGTCTCTTGTCCTCAGTCTGTTGTTTGATTGTCCTAGTCTTTTGTCCTCAGTCTGTTGTCTGATTGTCCTAGTCTCTTGTCATAAGTCTGTTGTCTGATTGTCCTAGTCTCTTGTCCTCAGTCTGTTGTTTGATTGTCCTAGTCTCTTGTCATAAGTCTGTTGTTTGATTGTTCTAGTCTCTTGTCCTCAGTCTGTTGTCTGATTGTCCTAGTCTCTTGTCCTCAGTCTGTTGTTTGATTGTTCTAGTCTCTTGTCCTCAGTCTGTTGTTTAATTGTTCTAGTCTCTTGTCCTCAGTCTGTTGTTTGATTGTCCTAGTCTTTTGTCCTCAGTCTGTTGTCTGATTGTCCTAGTCTCTTGTCATAAGTCTGTTGTCTGATTGTCCTAGTCTCTTGTCATAAGTCTGTTGTCTGATTGTCCTAGTCTCTTGTCATAAGTCTGTTGTTTGATTGTCCTAGTCTCTTGTCATAAGTCTGTTGTTTGATTGTTCTAGTCTCTTGTCCTCAGTCTGTTGTCTGATTGTCCTAGTCTCTTGTCCTCAGTCTGTTGTTTGATTGTTCTAGTCTCTTGTCCTCAGTCTGTTGTCTGATTGTTCTAGTCTCTTGTCCTCAGTCTGTTGTTTGATTGTACCATTGTTTTAGTTTTTGTATTTTAATTATGGCTAAAAATATTTTACAGTTACGGGAAGATGAAATGGAAGAACTTGATCGTCTTAATTCTGATGGATGTGAAGTTATTGTAATTGGAGGAAAGGAAAACACTCATGGCAAAGTGAACATCCTACTGCAGTCTTACATATCAAGAACCAATGTGGAATCTTTTTCTTTGGTATCAGACATGGCTTATGTTGCACAGGTAACTTAATTCTCAAGCAAGACAAAGCAAATCGGAAATATTTTTTTCTAAAGCAGGGTGCCTTGAAAGGCAAACTGACATAGATTATTTACTGACTTTTTTAATTTTCCCAGAATGCAGGAAGAATTATGAGGGCTTTGTTTGAGGTTGCTTTAAAAAATGGGAATCCACTTCTTGCAGCAAAATTGTTGGAAATGTGTAAAATGGTGGATAAACGCATTTGGAACTATGAAAATCCCTTACGTCAATTTAGCACTTTAAGTCATGAAATCCTAACCAAACTTGAACAAAGACGCCTGACACCTGAAAGAATGAGGGAAATGGATTCTAAAGAAATAGGTAATTAAGATTCAATATTTAGCAGATCTTATTTCTAATGCACAATTATCCAATTCTTTAGCAGACTATGGAGCCATTATTTACTCTCTTCTCTCTCTCTGTTTATATATATGAATATATGTGTCTCTGTATGTTGGTGGGTCTATCTGTGTGTCTTTTATGAAACTTTTGGAGGTTGTTTAGTTACTGTCATAAATTTTTGCTTCATTTGGAGGGGCAGCTGTTTTACTACCTAGGGTTGGCTGATTGGGTGTCCTGGGGGTCAATTGTACTACTTGAGTAAAGGCTCGATTGCACCAGTGGCGTCATCCTGTGCCCTGTGGTCATGCATCCTGCATTGGGACTAGGGGTACCAATCAATGATCAGTCTGCACAAGGGGTATCCATCTTCCGAAGCTCCGGCAATCAATGACTAATTCAAATCAGGGTTGCACCTAAAACCCTTGCTGTTGTGTAGCCAGTAGCTTTCACACCTGTGGGAGTTCTGCCTTCCAAATTGCTTAGGGTGATCAATGTATACTCAAGGTTTTTATAATCCCCAATTCAAACTCTGGGCAGTTGAGGCTTGTTAGATGTGTACAGCAACCTGTCTAGAAAAAAAAACTAAAAATCAAACAACTGCTGCCATACATTTTTCTTATCTTATGTGGACAAAGACTAGAGAAAGAAAAGCAGTCTGAAGTTGGAGTCAACTTGCCATATTACACATAACATGTTGACATGTAATACTTGATTGTGCTGATGGAAATCTCTTTCAATAATGCAATTTAGAATGAAGAAGTAAAGATCAATTTAATTTGAAATATTATCAATTTTACAAATACATTATTATGCCTCTCATCAATTGCATGTGTTTAAGGATTGTTGGTTCATCATACTTCCATGGGGCCAGTAATAAAAAAGTGTGTTCATCAAATTCCTAACCTGTTATTGGATGCATCAATCCAGCCCATAACTAGAACTGTGCTCAGAGTTAAGCTTGAAATTACACCTGATTTCAAGTGGGATGATAAGGTAAGGATTTACTAGCTTCATTACATGAAGAATCTGTATATATAATTCTCTTCTTGAAGATGATAGAAAACACCGAGCTGTAAGCGCGTCCCTTAGCAGTTCCCTCTCTTCCTCTCTAGGCATATCCCTACCACCCGCACATGGTCTGGTGAGCTGTGGTTCACGCTAAATGTTTACAATCGTAGAGCCGGGTTTAGTGACGACTTAGGGGAGGTAACTAAGAGGAGGTTACTTACACAGGGGGGGTGTAGGGGTTGGGGAAAAGTGGGGTGGGGGGGTTATCGTTCTTAACGAGCTACTGATAGTGTTTTAAAGCAAATATTTTCAGTGGAAGCATTGGAACTGTCGAATTAACAAATTATGAATTACTGAAAAGTAGAAAATAAAACAACTAAATAGCGGTGTTAACGGCGTATGATACACCGCGGGTCGGCTAGTTTTTAATAACATCTGTAACTTTTTGAACATATTTGTCAATCTGCTTAGGTTCATGGTGGAACTGCAGAGCCTTTCTGGATCTGGGTGGAGGATCCTGACAACAATCACATCTACCATAATGAATACTTTCTCTTACATAAAAAGCAGGTAGTTGACTTAATAAAAGTAGTCTTGTAAGCATACATTTAAAGCCACTGATTGCGTGTTACCAAATTATGGTATAAAACTTGTGTTTTGTAGTAACTGTTTGCCATTTTTTGTAGGTCCAAAATGTTGAAACTCAGACAGTGGTATTTACTATCCCTATATTTGAGCCATTGCCATCTCAATACTATGTGAGAGTTGTTTCTGACAGATGGATTGGTTCCCTCATGATGCACGCAATGTCCTTTCAGCATCTCATACTACCAGAAAAACATCCACCACACACAAGTAAAATAGATTGTTAAACAATTATTTTTAGTTTGATAAATGGCACATCTTTTCAAATGCTATTATCTTTTATGAATAAAAAATACATAGGATATTTAATGTTATTAGTGATTTTATTATTAAAATGTAATTCTTTGACATTACTTTTTTATTCCAGACTTACTGAATTTACAGCCGTTACCAATTACTGCCTTAAAAGATTTAAGATTTGAGTCTCTATATAGTTTCTCACATTTTAATCCAATTCAGGTATATCAATTGCATATTTAAAATAAAATTTCAATCTAGGATAAACAATGTATTTTATAGTGTGTAGTATGTATTGTTTACTTGCACATTTAAAAAAAAAACATATAGCATGCTGTTATTAGCTTGAAACAAGATAGTAAGTGTTTTGTTTAATTCCATTAAAAACTGTTTCAGACACAAATTTTCCACACTTTATACCACACTGATGTGAATGTCTTGCTTGGGGCTCCTACTGGATCAGGCAAAACTGTTGCTGCTGAATTAGCCATCTTTAGAGTTTTTAAGGAATATCCAAACTCAAAGGTATATTCATTAAAATTATTCATATTGAAACAAAAGCCAATATTAATAATTCTTATCATTGCAAATGGAACTCATGAAATACTTTTCTACAGGCTGTGTATATTGCTCCATTAAAAGCTCTTGTCAGAGAAAGAATGGAGGACTGGAAAATCAGGATAGAACAGAAGCTAGGCAAAAAGTAAGTTTTTTTCATATGGAACTTAATTGGTTTGAGTTTTTTAAAACTATTTACTTCTTTTTGGTTTTTCTTGCTAATTTACACAAATGTGTATATACTTCTAGTTTCTTATTATTGCAAACTCAAAAATCTCTAATGTCACATATAATAATAAAGTGCTGTGCTCCTTATCCCTATAATTTTTAAATTTCTGCATTGTAAAACTTGGACAGGGTTGTTGAGCTAACAGGAGATGTAACTCCAGATATGCGTGCTGTAGCCAATGCTGATCTCATAGTTACCACCCCTGAAAAATGGGATGGTGTAAGTAGAAGTTGGCAGACGCGAAACTATGTCAAGGCTGTTGCTGTTCTTATCATTGATGAAATTCATTTGTTGGGTATGTTGCTATCAATGTCATTATCCTGACTTTTATTTGGATCTAAACTGTGCATTTCACATTGATCAACAACAATGTGAATGTAACAAAGTGGATCAAGCATTTATTTAAGGAGTGGGGTGGGGGGGGGGGGGGGAGGCACTAAATATAATTTTTTAGAAATATTAAAATCAGAAAAACCTGTTTTAAATGTGATAAAAATTATAGTCTAAAGATAGTTTACCTTTGATAGGTTTGATAGGAAAAGGGGACTTTACAGCTCTTGTTTATACATCAGGATAGGAAGTAGAGGCTAAGCAGCTCTTAGAAGTGAATTGCCTCCCTCCCAATTTAGTCCCAGCTTTGTTCAGGAGTTTGAAGTCAGGACTTTAGGTGCGAGCAATCATATGCTCTCTCACCTGACCACACCATCTCCTACTAAAACAAACAAGACACAAATGAACAATGAAAATTATAATTTGAGTCTACTTTTCTGGCTCCACATAATAGATGAACTACACAAGAAACCACCTGAACATTACTTAATATAATCTCACAATAGATACTCTTGTTCTCTACTTGTGAAAAACAGTCTACAAAAGTTCTCTTCCACCTTTATCTTGAAATTGAATACTGTCTTTTACTAATATAGATATGGACATACATAATTTGTTCTTGAAAATGTCCATTCAGTCCTGTCATATACAAAAGCCAAGTGGGGCTACTCTTTCTCACTCCAAACTGATTGTATATATAGTGGAATAAGACATTTTGCCACCACAAGACATTGATAGTAGATACCACTTAAACTACTAATGAGGGATAGTACACAACATTATAAACTTGTGTTGATGTTCCTAATTTATACTGGAATAGCCCAGTGAACACAATAAAATTTTACAATCTATTGCTTGCAACATACATATGCATATTTAAAAAAAGTATTCATATTAAGGTTTTGCTGAATAAATAGAAAAATACAAGAGATTACACGTTGAGGTAATTACAATAAGGTAATTGTTGGAAGTAATGCCCAAGACTTCTAGGGTGAACTGTTGATCTGTTTTTAAAAGCCTGCTTGACAATTGTAGGTGATGACAGAGGACCAGTTCTGGAAGTGATTGTGTCTAGAACTAACTTCATCTCTGCCCACACTGAGAAAACTGTCAGAATTGTGGGGCTGTCAACTGCCCTAGCCAATGCCAGAGACTTGGCAGACTGGCTTTCTATAAAGGAAGTAAGTCAATCCAGATTTTCACCTTTAGGAGTATTATCTGTATTTGTCCCATCATCATCATCAAAAATCTCTGCCCTGTACCATTTTTGTCAACTTGACTCCAGGTGTAGCTCAACTTAGTGGTTTCAGCCTCAAGGTTCTAACACTAGGTGTTTCCTGGTCAACCTTATTCGTCTCAGGGTATTTTAATTCTTTGCTTTCTATACATATAGAGGTGGTATTTAAATTCTAAAAACTATTTTCTACTAGCGCACTTAATGCAACATTTAAGAGGATTCATCAATGCGTTCATCATCATCATGTTCTTTTGTTGGCGCATGCGAAAGAGTAAAAACTTTCAAAAAATTTAAGTCATTACCTAAATAGACCCTTCTCTGTTACTTGTAATAAGACAGTGGCGATGCAAGTAATGCACAACTTGTGAGTTTGTTTACTTTTACAATGATAGAATGATGGACTGACACGCTACTTGCCCGCTTATATATATATATATATATATATATATATATATATATATATATATATATATATATATATATATATATATATATATATATATATATATGTGTGTGTGTATATGAAAGGCTCATAATTTCAACAACTTTTTACCACATGTTATAGCTACCAATGTTATTATTTTTTGCTTTATAAATAATAGCTGAAAAGGAATTTTTATATTTTCTACTGTTAATTGCATTTCTAAACTTGATTTACATTTTTGTTTTGTGTGTATAGTTTAAATGTACAAGAATATAAATGCAATTTAATCTTTTTAACATTTGATTTTCTTAACAGATGGGGTTATTTAATTTTCGACCTTCGGTTCGACCAGTCCCACTTGAGGTACATGTCAAAGGGTTTCCAGGACAACATTATTGCCCAAGAATGGCTACAATGAACAAACCAACATTTCAAGGTGTACTCACAGTTTTTATTTTAAGCAATGACTTGAATGTTTAAATATAATTATAAATAATAATATTAATATTTTTAGATAATATATTAAATATTTGTGAATCTTTACTTATTTATACAGCTAATGTTTTGAGAATTTTATTATTCCCAGCATAACAATAAACTATTACTTTTATTACAGCCATTAAAACTCACTCTCCAAGAAAACCAGTTTTAGTGTTTGTATCATCTCGTAGACAGACTCGTCTTACAGCCCTAGACCTGATAGCTTACCTTGCAGCAGAAGAGAATTCTAAACAATGGCTACATATGCCTGAAGAAGATGTGAGCATTTACTTGTGTGGTGTCACTAAAATTGTTTTTTCTTTTCTCTCAGTATCATTCTTGCTTTTCTAACTGAACCGTGTTGATCAGGCTGTTGTGATTTGAGTTGAAACACTGAAGTCTTGGGTCTCAAGATGCAGCATGTTTGAAGCTTCTTATTCTGACTTGTTAGGCCAATGAACATTTCAGATAAGCTTTGTATATGGTTTATATAACCTCTTTAGTTATCTTGGTCTACTGATATTCACATGACCAGACTAAGGTGTGGCCAAGTACATACTGCATGTTGGAGGCAAGGGCTGAGAGTACCAATTTAGACAAGTGACAGAGTGATTATTGTTAGTTTTCATGCTGTGTCAAAATGGCCAATGACAAATGAAAATGACCCCGACCAAATGGCCCCGACATAAGAACCCTATCAAAAGGGCAGCGACAAATGTATAGGCTCAATACAAATAGGCTCCCGTCATATAAGCTCCCGATGAAAGGGCTGCCGTCAATAAGGCTCCTGACAAATAGGCTCTTGACAAACAGGTTTATGTCATTTTGACTCCAAACTAAACAGCTCCCCTCATGACAAAACGGCTCCCATCATTACGACTCAAACAAATAGGTTTCCATCATTTTGGCTCCAGAAAAGGGCACTGGTCAATAAGGTTTGGTTTCCGCAGAGACTCAGTTTCCTGGCAAAACATCCTCATTGAATATGACACATTTAGAGTTAGCTTAACCAACACCTTTAAATAATACAACGTATGCAGCTCTTGTTCAGCATGCCTTAGTTTTATATATTTTTTATTTAGTTTAAGAAATAGTATGTTTTAAATTTAAAGGTCATCTAGCTATGACTTCCATAAATGAGTCAGTTGTGGACTGTTTCAGCTTAGTGTGTGGGGGAGAGGTCCACGCTGTACATTTACCTGCAGTATGTTTGTAGTTTATCAAAGCAAAATAAACTAAAATACCTTACCCTGTAAACATAATGTATATCATAAACTTCAGTGCTTGCTTTTAAGCAACAGATCTTCACTGTTGTAAATTAATCATTATCAACATTTTAACATCGGTCGAATTTAGCTGTTAAGGGCTCAATTTGTTTATGAATTGCTGTTGGTTCATGAAAAAGTTTTTTATTCAGGCATTCAAAGAAGGTTATAGTGGTAGTGGAAGTAGGAACTTCATGTGGTTGGTGGGTTGGGCAAAAAGGAAAAAGGTTACGTTTATGCCAACATTGGTCATACAATTCATTTGTCTGGGGCCAACATGTCTGAGTCATTTTGTCGGGAACCCATGTCTTGGAAGCCAATATGTTAAGAACCCATTTTTTGCAAGCTTATATGACGGTAGCCAAAATGTTGTGGCCCTTTTGACGGGGCTATTTTGACATGGGTTGATTTGTTGTGGTTAGTTAGTTGTATTTAGAGTTTCAGCAGTTTCTGTGTATAACTAGTGCAAGAGTGATGCAAGGTGAGTTAACTACCTAAATAATGAGATTCAAAATTGCAAGCTCTAAAATAATGAGAGCCATAACTGCAATGCAGGTGAAGTTAAAAGTCTAAATAATGATATCCGTAATTTGTTCGGATCACGACTGAATCCACTCATAGTAAATGGTGCAGCTGATATCTCTCATTGATGAAGGCAGAAACACATCCACCAGTACAAGTTTATTTTTCCAGAAAAGTTTGGAAGGAGCCATAATTAATTGTCACTAGGTAAGTTTTTACTATCTTCTTTGTTTATCTTATGTGACTTGGAATAATTGTGGAAAAAATGTTGTTACATATCACAATAGGAGGATAAAGCATAAATGTTATGACAAGATAAATGTGTCAACATAAAGGTTTAAAGGTCGTTACTCAACAAATGTCCCTGTTAGAACAAACTAGGGACAAGTTTTGAGGCTGTGAAATTGACAATAGACACACAGATGCTCTTCCTCTATACAAACTTGGGCCATATATGTCTGTATGGTAATTGTGAGGGGAGGGTTTTTGGGATACATGTATTATTGGTACACTGTAATGTATACTATAATAATTAATATGCAATCGTCCAGGGATCGCCTCTTTTATAAACTGGCACAGTTTAGTGATGAAATCAGACACACAAGTCCAATTCAATATATATAATAGTATATATACAACTACAACAGTTCTTTATTTTTACTCCTACCATAACTACGTCCTAACACATATGACTGTCTACTAACACCATCTAGATTTCTAACTGCAACTAACACTTAACTTCTCCTTACACATTCCCATTACCAACTCTAGCACTATCAACATTTCAACTGTCGACATGCTAACCGCTACTCGCTCCTACTGCTGCCCACACGTTAATGGTCAGCTGACCATCGCACATGACCGGTCATCTCTACAACTCCATGTCTAACCAATGTCTACCTGACCTACCTACCTGACCGATTGTATCTCTCGTCTGCTTGACCTCGGACCTATTTATAGCAAGCATCATCACAGTAATAGATCTTGCCAAAATTATTCCAAATAGCTCTCAAGCAGGCTTTCCCTTACTTTAGTTACAACTTCCTGTCTTTTAGTATTATTTTAAATTTCTCTGCTTCCATCAGGAAACATGAGCAACTTGAGTTATTTTTAAAAACATTTTTTTTTCTTTAATGTAACTAGCTGGAAAAATCTGGACTGGCAAAGTAGTTGTGTGTCTATAACACTAGTTGTCTCAGGCTAGCAAAGCGGTTGTGGGCCTATAACATTAGTTGTCTCCAGGCTAGTAAAGCCTGAAGTGGGCCTATAAGACTAGTTGTCTTCAGGCTGGCAAATTAAACACAATTTAAAAAAACAACCAAATCAATGTTTTTTGTTTTTAAATAATTTTATCACAGAAAATGTAAACAAAAGTTGCAGACTAGGTCACGTAGTTTAAAAAAAAATAATTTAAAATTTTATCGACTAAGTTTTTGAAAATTCACAAAAAAAAACACGTTTTACTAGCAAGCTTTTATGTACTAATGCGCTAAAAAGGAGAAAATAAATGATTTTATTTAGATATTTAATAACTCACTACCATTTAAATAACTATAAAGAAAAACGTGGGTCACTTTATAATCTAGTGGATACCTTTACTTATATTTAGGTTCGACACCGTTCACCCGAGTGCCATGAAACTTTGGAGAGTAGATGAGAATGCTCCTGGGGAGGTTTCTGCGGGGAAAAATAGTTTTAATTTCGCACGGGTGCGATTTGGCCCCCGGGCTTTCCAATGAGCGCTATGGCACCTACGTTCGTTTCAAACAGAACAATAGACTATGGATAAGATGGGATGTTATATAAACTGAATCAGGCGCGCCCGCCGGCACCCCTGCAAGGTACGATTTGGCGCCCTGGGCTATCCATTTAGCACTATGGCGCCTATATTATTTTAAGGAGCAACCTACAATATTGAGACTGTGGCGCACTACATTCGATGATTAAACCGAGCCAGGAGCCGTACGCGGCGCCCCTGCGTTAGTGTAATCGGGGGCTCCTGAAAGCGCTCCTCTACGTCCCTGACAACTGGGTAGTCTCGATGTGCGTTCTACTATTACGGTGAGTGATTACACTCAAAGCTTTTATACAGCATGCCATGGGGCGTGCTGGGCGGTAGTGTAGGTAAACCCTTGCCCCGATAAATATGTTCCTATCGCAGGAGTAGTTTACATTTAAATAACTCAGTTTTAGAAAACAAGGTCACACGTCTAAGAAGATAGGATTGGACACGCTTGTAATATTAATAATACTATCCATTAAACACAATTCGGCCACCATCGCTTACTTTTTTTTTCATATGAGTTATAATTTCATTGTAGTTTTGGTGTTATCGATTTTCTGTTTGTTTGAAAGGTGAAACAATTAGTTGAAAATGTGTAGCAGATCAAAATGATGTCACTCATTACTCCTACCTTAAGAGAGCCACTCATCCGCAAAGACTTTAATTAATGCAAAAAGTGGGGGAAAGTGGAGATCTCTAACTGTTTGAATGGCATGTATGGATCTTCAGAAAGCCTGCATTATTGATATTTTATTCTTTTTTTAAAGATAAATATAAAGTACGCCACTGAAAAAGAACATCAGGTGTTTTGAAAACTGACTGGTCTTAAAAACACTATGTTTTTCTATGAATTCCTGTCAGGAAAGACAACTAAACACTAAAACAGATGCTTGTGAATGAATGCTGGAGAACGTGTGTCAAAATAATCGCCAAATTTTCCGTCATCAGCCCATAGAAAATGTGTCAAAATACACTTTCTAAAAGGTAGCATCAGTTAACCTTAAGGCTTATTAAACAAAGCTAGCAGCATTTAACTTATAGATTAAACGAAGCTAGCAGTTAACATCAGTAGCGTATCTATCTATATAAAAAACAACGTCTGTCTGTCTGTGTATCTGTCTTGTATGCATTACTACACCTTTCATCACATCGCCATGAAACTTTAGGAAGTTGTTGAGAATACTCCTGGGGAGGTTTCTGCGGGAAAAAAAAATTCAATTTCGCTGGGGTGGTGCTCCGGCATGGCGCTATTTGTTTTTCTCTATATACGGTATATAAAAATTAATTCGATTGCGGGTTGACACCGTTCATCCGATCGTCATGAAACTTTCGGGGAGTTGGTTAGAACACTCCAGGGTATGTTTCTGTAAAACAATATTTTTTAATTTCGCAAGGGTAGCGCCCCTGGAGGTTGCGGTTCTTCTCTAAATACTGTATATTTAAATAAACCGGGAGTGATCTCCCCTAACCTTTCTCGAATATTCTTATATAAAACAACAGGGGATGGGAACTCGGGCTATAGACATGATTTTTAATCCATTTTAAATACTTAAAGTTTTAAAAATAGAATACAATCTTATAGACAAAAGAATTGCACACCAAGTGAACGCCAAATAAAAAAGTGCATAATAGTGCGCAATATTTTTTAGTACTTTATAAATTTACATGCGTTTTTTGAGAAATCGGAAATAGCGTAAATTAGTACTTCC